GTTCCTTGGACCCAGAGATCTCGCAGCCTTCGGTCTGTCGTCAGTCACATTTTTCTCTATCCTGCCCTTCCAAGATGCTCAGAGCAGTGTACAGGGGTCTGTCGTCTTCCCACTTTATTCTCACATTAGCCTTGTGAGGTAGATTCACGTGGGCAGCCATGTTGGTCTGAAGCAATTGAGCAAAGTTTGAATCCAGTGGCACCTTTAGGACCAGCACAGTTTAATTCTGGGTACAAGCTCTCATGCGCACGCACACTTCTTCATACACAGAATTAAACTTGGTTGGTCTTAAAAGGTGTCCCTGGACTCAGACTTTGTTCTTGTGAGGCAGGTTAGGCTGAGAGAAGAAGAGTTGATTTTCATACCCTGCTTTTCTCTACTGTAAGGAGTCTCAGAGCGTCTTACCATGGCCTTCCCTTTCTCTCCCCACAACAGACGCCTTGTGAGGCATGTGGGGCTGAGAGGGTTCTGAGAGAACTGTGACTGGCCCAAGGTCACCCAGCAGGCTTCCTGTGTAGGAGTGAGTGCGAGTGACTGTTTATCTTGTCGGGGACATTTGCATGCATCATGTAGGGGATTGGAACCAACGCTCCCTCTAAGCTGCGCAGTCTTGTGAGCCAAAATTCTACTTTGTGAGCGACTGGCATTAAAGTTGTGAGCGAGCGATTGGGCTACTGCATAAGTTAGTTTGCTCTGGAGCCCTCCTTCCTGAGCTAAGACAAAAATGTGTGAGCCGGAGGCTAAAATCCTATGAGCTAGCTCACACTAACTCAGCTTAGAGGGAACACTGATTGGAACCCAAGCCTCCCAGACCCTCGTCCAACATTCTGCTCATTGGTACATTGCCAGGAGTCGGAGCAGGGGCCATAACTCAGTGACAGAGCACACGTTCGTCTGTTTGTTTCGATTTATATCCCTCCCTATGCCCAAGCGGACTCAGGGCAGGTCGCTGCAATAAATTACAATCAACGAACAGCTGGAGAAATAAATATTAAACAGTAAAAACAGTTAAAAGGTAGGCATTACGACAGTTGCATATTCAGCAATCCTAATAGCTGGGAACAATTGGGCTGCGGTTGAGCCGGAGAGATCTTATTAACAGCAGCATAACATTAAGGTACTGCAACGGGGAGGCCAGTTTCTGGACGCCCACCTGCTCAACCAAAGGCCTGGTGGAAGAGCTCTTATTTGCAGGCCCTTCAAAACTGTAATAGGTCCCGCAGGGCCCCGGATCTCAATCGGGAGCATGTTCCACGAGGCCGGGGCTAGGGGAGGCTACGTGGACATCCCTCGGGCTGAGACAACCAGCAAATGAGGATCCACGGAGCAGAAGGCTCTCCAGGGCACATCTGGGGAGAGGCGGTTCCTTAGGTATGTCGGTCCCAGGCCACATAGAGCTTTAAAGGTCGTCACCAGTGTAGGACAAGGGGAAAAGAATGTGATTCCTGAATGTGATTTCTGACACTCTTTCCTTGATGTATATTGATTGACAGCTTTTTTCTTACCCTCTTTCCTTGATGTATATTGACAGCTGTCACTGTGCCTTTAAAAGTTTAATCAGAATAGATCCAGATCTTGGTATGTGACCCAGAATCTTCTGATTAGAGAAATATATATATATATATAACTGCATTTTTTGTATAAGGAGCCATATTAAGCAAAAGTATTACAAGAAGCCTTTGGAGAAGGAATTAGGATGCAATAAGAATGGAATGCTATTTAGAAGTTGCGAGGCTGCTGAGAGCGAAGTTTAATGTGATTCACAGCCCTTATCGGCTAGCTCTCCACATGTGAGCCCAGGAAGGGACCCAGTGCTCTCTAATGTTCCCAGTGTTCTGAAGACAAGATAAGCAAGTGTAATTACTGACACCACTGGGAGATGCGCTGAGTCAAATGATGCTTGTATGATGTTAACTGCTTGGTACCAGTTAGAGACTCTTTAATGTGTAAACTATATGTGATGTCATTTGGGGTATGAGACCTTCTGTCCTTTCTGGTTATTGTCAGCTAGCTGCCATGTTTTGCTTGCTCCCTTCTCTGACCCTGGCTCTACAGCGCATGCCTCATAGCTTGCTTGCTGCTCTGCCCACTTGCCGTATACAGAGATAGGGAGACCGTGAGAACCAGTGCTGCCAGACTGCCAGACTGAGTTATCTGTCTGACCTTCTTGCGTTCCACCGCTGGTGTGAATATTTCGGCTCTCATGGGGCACTGAGACTCTCCCGCTTATTATGTAACCTACCGCCGGGAGAATTCCCGCGCGCATGCTCGGATTTCATTTGCTTAGCCATTTGCCTCATCCTGCTATATGTAGGGATGTTTCCACCCTATCGTCATTCCTAACAATAGCCCTGTGGACATGGTAACAGACCTGTGGTCTAATAAAGCATAACACTTCCCTGGAAACGTGTGTGGAGATTTACTTGCTGTTGAACCTGACAGTTATGGCAGAATACAGTTTTGGAATGGCTGAAGTGCTACGGTACTCAGCCCTGTACTCCCTGTTTTAAATGCATTAGATATTCATCTAACTCGTTGGACTCCGACTGGGTGATTCCAATCCGGCTAAGGGGCCACGCAGGCACGGATTTGTGTATCATCAGTGTAATGTATTCAAAGCTGCCTTGAATGCATGTCTGTATTGTGAAACACCTAATTGGGAAGCTATGTTAAGCTTCGTCTTGGGCAGGGATTCAAGCCCAAGACAAATGTGTCCAATCACGTTCAAACAAACTGTAAGCGGGAACAAAGGTGATTGGTTGTTATACGCTCAATCGTATTGGTTGATACATGTACAGTAGGCGTGGCTATATTAGCCGGGAATTGTTTAAAAGCAGAGCAGCTGCAATGGAAAAGCTGTTCTGGCTATCAGATGTTGTACCGTGTTGGAGAAGTATTCGAGTTGAAGAATAAAGTTGTGTTCTTGCTGAAATCACTCTCCGACTATTTGTTAAGCACAGGACTTAACAACCAGCACCTTGAAACAAATCCGGTACTTGATTCATAGCCAGTGCAATTGGCGAAGCACCGGCTGAATGCGCGCCCGCACAGACATGTTCTGGAGGCATGATGTCTCGCACTTGGGTCCCCAGCATCTCCCATTAAAACCCTAGAGCCCTGCTGGAACCCTTGGGAGTGTTTTCTCTCAAAACAGATGACAGTCTGCTATAGACAGCCTTTTGGCCCAAGCGGGGGTGGGGGGGTGGGGGTGGGCAGCTTCACGTGTTTCTGTGTTACTCTACGTGGGCTTCCTTGTATGTGCCCACATGGTTGTTTGTTAAGAATGGGGCAATTGTTTTCACAGGGCGCTGCTCACGGAAGCAGCTTTTTAAAAAAGCACCACTTGGGAAGTTCTGCCCGAAGCAAATCCTAGCGTGTTTGCGGATGGGTGTGCTGCTTCTATATATTTCCCCCTCCCTCTGGGATCTTTGTTTTGGTGAAAGGTCGTTTGCCCTGGGGTGGATGATTCATATGCTTTTGGAGCGGGGCTTGTACATTCTCTGCCTGTTGGCACCTGTTCAGTTATCTTGGATTTCTTCCTGGAGCAGCAGAAGATTCCCATTGGCAAGTTTTTTGGTCCAAGGAGTTGACGGCCAAATAAAACCATGCAGGGGAAAAAACAAACAAACATGCTCTAGAAGTTCTTGCTGGACCTTGGACTGTAGGGTGGGGGGTGCCATAACTACATGGGTCCCCTTACGTAAAAAACCTTTTGCACCAGGAAAATGACCTTGTCCTAGTTGGGAGTCCAGCAGAAAACACTGGTGTGAGATTGGATGTGGAGTTCAGTTTTTGGAGAACGTGTTTTTGTTTGGTGTAGTGGTTAAGTGCGTGGACTCTAATCTGGGAGAACCGGGTTTGATTCCGCACTCCTCCACATGGCAGCTGCTGGATGACCTTGGGCAAGCTGCAGTTCTGATAAGAGCTGTTCTTGAAAAAGAGCAGTTTCTGTCAAGAGCTCTCTCAGCCCCACCTCCCTCACAGGGTGTCTGTTGTGGGGAGGGGAAGGGAAAGGAGTTTGTAAGCCGCTCTGAGACACCTTTGGGTAGTGAAGGGTGGGGTATAAATCCAGTCTCCTCTTCTCTTCTTCTTCTTTGGTAAAAGCAAGTTGTTAGACCCGGTTGTGAGCCATCTGCTTGAAAGTGGGAGTAAGGATGTGAAAGGGGCGGCTGAATAAAGTTTTCCAGGCAGGATGACTCGTCTCTCCCAGGATTTGCAAAATCAGAATAATTAAGGCAAAAAGTAATAAGAAATGGCAGGATTATGCATGATAAGAGATGCTGGGCAAGTCTGTGCAATTGTATGCTTGTGGTCGGATTCGTTTTCCCAGGGCACAGAACCTGGATTAGCTCAATACAATGTTGTAATTGCTTAAACGCTGGGTATGTACAGCCCCGGTTATAGTTTTAATCTCCCTGAAGTGTTGGCTTTCCGTATGCAGGGAGATAACTGGGGGGCGGGGTGGGGACACCACCACGATTTTGCATTCAAACCTGCCACGCTTAGCCCACCCTTGCAGCCTGAAGTTCTGCAGCCCTTGTGGCTTCCCGGCAGCCCGAAGAGCTTTGAGCGGGTGAAAAAGTGGCCGAGAGTCCTCCGTCCCTGTGGCCCTCCTCAGGCCGTTGTGTGGGACCGTGGCTCGTGGGCTGCCACATTTCTCCTGCTCCAGGTTGCTCCCTCCTTGTGGCAAACGAGTCCTGTGAAAATCCACGACGGCCTTTGCCTAGGACTGGGGTGGCGACGACTCACCCTACTTCTCCAGCCAGTTTGGTGTAGTGGTTAAGTGCGCAGACTCTAATCTGGGAGAACCGGGTTTGATTCTCCGCTCCTCCACTTGCACCTGGCTGGATGACCTTGGGCAAGCCACAGTTCTGATAAGAGCTGTCCTTGAAAAAGAGCAGTTTGTGTCAGAGTTCTCTCAGCCCCACCCACCTCACAGGGTGTCTATTGTGGGGAGGGGAAGGGAAAGGACTCCTCCTCCTCCTCCTCCTCCTCCGCAGTTCGTGGCTCAGCTTTTGGGCTTCCTGATCAGCGTGGTGAGCTCCATCTTCTGCGGCCACCTGGGAAAAGCCGAATTGGACTCCGTGACCCTCGCTGTCTCCGTATGTATAGACTGACCGCCTTTAAAAATGTTATGATTTGAACCCGAGAATGTCATCTGTACGCACTCCTGTTGAGTCAGGGCGGCTGGCGGTCTTTAGAAACATAAAACACACCAAGGATTTGAATGATTGTTTTGGACGGACGTGTATCATTCTAATCCAGTTCTTGCCTCCTCCGTCTGCCGCCACGGCTTTCTGACCTCCTCCAAAGCCCCCACCCAGCCCTTCTTGGCCCTGCATGGGATATTTGCACATTTTTAGTTCCCTGCCCTCATTGGTTAGCCCACCTCTCAAATTTGTGGCCATCTCGTGTGTGTGAGCCTTGACCAGATCGACCTTCCTGGAGAGGAACGGCTGCGCTGATGGCTCCTAAACATGTTGCGACCCACCATTTGCAGTTGGAATGTTTGTGAGCATTCTGTGTTGTCATGTTATCTGTTGATGTAGGGGGATGTGCCACAGAGAGATGGTGATCAGAATATTAGTATTAAACATGCGACTGGAACAACCTGCTGCTGCCAAGAAATGTGTTGCACCAAGCATTTGGCCAAATTCAGTTGCTGCTGGAAGATGCTTAAGCTAGGGCTTTGGTGGACCTCCAGGTGATGGCATTTCTGAGCCCACTGAAAGACCTCTGAGTATATGCCTTGGCACGGGCCCTTATCTAATTGCTTCTGGCACAATGAACAGGTTGCCAGTGCAGACAATCTGGAGTTGGACAGGAATCCCTCCAAAGGCTTCTTTTTCAGCTAGAGCTTTAGCTGCCCAGCGGGAGGGTGGGGCTGGGAAGGAGCTCCCTTCTGGGGGCTGCCTCCTCCAGCACCTCTGGCTCAGTCCTTCCCAGGTTCTCACGAGGCAGTCTCCAAGAGTCCCAGAAAGTCATTTCCGGGCCGTGTTCCTTTCCCGCCCCCTAACCCATGGCTTCCTCTCTCCGGATGCCCGTCCTTCTAGGTCATTAATGTGATTGGGATCTCGATTGGCACCGGGCTGGCATCGGTGTGCGACACCCTCATGTCCCAGGTACTGTGGGCCTTTTATCCTTGATTGCGGGGTTGGGGGGAGGGGAGAGACAAGATGTGGTGTTTTGCTGCTCTGGGGCTTGGTGCTTTTAGTTACAGCTGCGCTGTGACTATTTAAAGGCCTCGGTGACTTATCAGGGCCTGAAGGTGGGTGGAAGTCCCCAGGTCTCCGTGGGTCACTGGGGTTGGGGGGGCAACACTCTGTGCATGCACAGAGGCCTGATGTAACTTCCAGGCATCCCAGTTGCGGGAGGGCAGTGTGCAGGACGCTGGGATTAATTTTGCCCCTGAGGCCAGCCTTGAATTTCCCCCTCCTTGGTAGCCAAGTTCGGCTGATTTGTGTGGAATCCGCGGCCTGACTCCCCCGTTTTCCGTCTCGCTCAGACCTACGGGAGCCGGAACGTCAAGCGGGTGGGGACCATCCTCCAGCGGGGCATCCTCATCCTGCTCCTCTTCTGCTTCCCTTGCTGGGCTGTCTTCATCAACACCGAGCGGATCCTGCTGCTCTTCGGGCAAGACCCCGAAGTCTCCAGGTCAGGCCTCCTGTGGCCGACGGGCGCTCTCTCCGGCCCTCTGGCCCCCCCGAGGTGCCAGGGTCCTCCTGGGGGCGGCGGATTTGATCCTCGGCAGAGTTAGCAGGACTGAACCCTCTTCCCCTTCTCTGTGCGTTTTGTGCTGGTTTCCTGTTGCTTTCCGAATTGCTTTCAAGTTCCTAGTCCCTGTGAGGCGTTCCGAATGCAGAGATGTGAGGAAGGGTGAAAATTCCCTGCTGAGGCATGCAGATTCGGGACTGTAAAATCAGAGTTCTATGGCCTTGTGTGAATTAAACAACTTTGTTGAGTCAATTTGGATTCTCATGACAGAAGGACGGAAGGCCATGTTTGAGGCCACCGGTCTCCCCTCCCTCCTCAGTTTTGGAGTTTTCATCGGGCACTGCCCTCGCCCTTTCAAAGCTATCCTCATAACCGGAACAGCTAGAAACGTGTCCTTTTTTCAACAAATGAATGTTGAGATTGCGTCTCACGCAGCCCCGTCGGTACGTCTAGCCCGAGCCCATCAGATCATGGAAGCTAAGCAAGACTGGCCACAGCTAGTATTTGGAAGGGCAAGGAATACCAGGGTCATGATGCAGAGGGAGGCAATGGCAAACCACCTAGTGGTGCATAATGCTGAAAGAGCTAGAACTTGTGGCTGCCAGACAATCTTAGGATCTCCTGGCTATTCTACCCACCTCAGCCCCCTTTTTTTCCTTTACCTGTTCCTTACCTTCGGGCCTTCTCTCCCTGTCTGCTCCCCATGCCTGGAGTAGCAGCTCCCTCTGCCTGTTGAGACCCCTCAAATCCTTCCTCAGGACCACAACTTCCTTCAAGTGGGAAGGGAGAAAATCAGCCATTTCCTAACTTCTTAATGAAGAACAGTCTTTGGTTGGAAGAGCGAGCCAGAACCCTTTTAGCGGCCGAGATGGAACCTCCCTATGCAAGAGCAGTCTCCCTCTGAGTACCATCTATGTGGCGTGGACAGTGGGAAGGGTGGCCCTCATGTCGCTGCTGTGCTTGTGACCTTTCAGAGGTGTCCAGCTGTCTCTGGACTAGACAGTCTGCTGGGCTTGACGGGTGCTATGAGTCTGATTCAGCCCTGCCTCAGCCGACAAGTAACATTTCTGTTCTGTTGTCTTGCAGGCTAACTCAGGTTTACGTCATGGTATTTATCCCTGCTCTTCCGGTAAGTTCTCTCCCCCCACCGACCCCCGGTTTTGGGGTTTTGAAATCGGCTGCCCAGGGAAGTCCTGGGAGAGATGTTTGCTGGCGTCTGGTGTTTCTGCGGCCTCCTGAATGGCTTAGAGGGCCTGTCAGGGAGAAACTGCAGCGTACGCAGTTTTAAATTGCCTGTGTTTTGCTGAAGAAGAGTACCTTAAGGAGTCTCACTTAGAATCACCTTCCCTTCCTCTCCCCACCACAGGCCCCTTGTGAGGCGGGGGGGGGGGCTGAGACAGTCCCGAGAGAGCGGTGGGAAGTGGGGAATCAGACCTGGTTCTCCAGATTAGAGTCTGCTGCTCTCAGGGCTATTTTTGGGCAGGAACGCACAGGAACGGAGTTCCGGTTGGCTCCCGAGTTGGCCACGCCCAGCAGGAACTCATTAGCATAATAGGCCACACCCAACAGCAGAAACTCATTAGGATTGGCTACATTAGGGGTGTGTGGCCTAACGTGCAAAGGAGTTCCTGCTACAAAAAAAGCCCTGGGTTTTGAAGACAAACAAGGTAAACAGAATAACAAGCAAAAGGTGGTTGTGGCTGGATAACCACACTTCTGGTAACATGGGGGTGCGGCCTAATATGCTAATGAGCTGTGCTGTCAGGGGTGTGGCCTAATACTCTAATGTGTTTCTGCGGTTGGGTGTGGCCTATTATGCTAATGAGTTCCTGCTGGGCTTTTTCTACAAAAAGAGCCCTGACAACTACACCATGCTCAGGATTTGGAGCAACGTTCTCGCACATCTTTTGTGCAGGTCACTGGCTGGGCCTGCCTGGCCTCAATGGCAAATAATGGCAGCCTCACCAGATAAGAATTTGCCCCACGAGCCACGAAGTCCTGGCCGTGGGCCTGCATCAGAGCCAATGTGCGCACGCCTCCAGTCTTGTGGGTTGACGGCCCCCCCCCCCCCTGAGCCTTCCCTCCTGGCTGTGTGTTTTGTGAGGGACAATCAGTTGAGATGAGCCGGTCGCATTTCAGGAGTTCTGTTGGCGTCAGAGCGGGCCTGTTGCTCTTGGAGACTCCGCCCGCTTCCTTAAAGGGATCCCCCCCCACACTTCTTCCCAAAAGCATTTAAAGTGATCCTTCAAATAGTTTTGAGAAGAAGCGGGGGTGGGGGTGGCAGCACAGGCCCCTCTCCCTCCCTCCTGCAAGATTGAAAGGGCCCTCCAGCTGATCGGTGGGCCACGTGCTCCCCACCAATCAGCTGAAGAGCTCTTTAAATCAGAGGTGTCGAACTCATTTGTTACGAGGGCCGGATCTGACATGAATGTCTCTTTGTCGGGCCGGGTCATGTAATGCCGTTTGCCGGAGACATAAGCTGTATAAAGGACAGCAGCTGGTAAGCTCCTGAGTTGTTGTATCCTCACTGCAAGGCCTCACGGGCTGGGCTGGGGATGCAAAGAAAAACCTGGATGGGCGGACTGGAGAGCCAGCGGCGCAGCACTGGGCAGACGCTCCCATAATGTTTGACTGCTGCAGACAAGGTTGTTTCCAGCCATGCTGAAGCCACAATCCCCCAATCCCCGCCCCCCCCCCGAGTAGTCTCCTGTTCCCTCCTTGCACTAGTAGCTCGCGGGCCACATAAGAGCCCTGGATGGGCTGGTTCCGCCCCCCGGACCTTATGTTTGACACCCCTGCTTTAAATCTTGGCAGGAGGGGAGGGAGAGGGGTGCATGCCAGTCCAATGTTCCCTCTAAGCTGTGGAGTCTTGTGAGAGAGAAAATTCTACTTTGTGAGCTGCTGGCATTAAAATTTTGAGCAGGCAATTTGGCTGCCGCATAAGTCAGTTTGCTCTGGAGCCCTCCTTCCTGAGCTGAGGCAAAAATGTGTGAGCTGGCGGCTAGAAAACGGCGCGCTAGCTCACACTAACTCAGCTTAGAGGGAACGTTGCATGATGCCACCCCCCTTCGTTATGGCAAATAATGGCAGCCTCACCAGATAAAAATCTGCTCCACAAGCCACGAAGTCCTGGCTGTGGGCCTGCGTCAGAGCCAACGTGGCACACGCCTCCAGTCTTGTGCCATCTCAGGGTTGACGTGGGCAGGGCTCTTTTGGTAGAAAAAGACCAGCAGGAACTCGTTAGCATAATAGGCCACACCCAACAGCAGGAACTCATTAGCCTATTAGGCCACACCCCTGATGGCATAGCTCATTAGCTTATAAGGCCACACCCCCACGTTACCAGAAGTGTGCTCATTCAGCCACACCCACCTTTTGCTTCTTCTGGTTACCTTGTTTGTGGTCAAAACCCAGAGCCTTTTTTTGTAGCAGGAACTCCTTTGCATATTAGGCCACACACCCCTAATGTAGCCAATCCTAATGAGTTTCTGCTGTTGGGTGTGGCCTGTTATGCTAATATGTGTGTGTGTGTGTCACTGCCTCCTTGTCAGAGTTGTGTGGCTTGGTGTTTAAGTGACTGGTTGGCTGAGGGGTTGAGGGGAGCAGGTGAGCTCTGTCACAGGGAAGCTACCAAACCCTACTGGGCAGTCGGGGCATCTGCTGAGAAACAGCCACACTTTGGTACCACCTAGACAGCGTGGCCTCCTCAGAAGGGGGGCCTGGCGGCTGACCGTCTTACCTGAGCCGTACGGGCCCAGTGGAAGCTGCGCGAGGGTCTCTCCACGGTGCCGTTCTCCCCTACGGAGGAGCGCACTGAGGCCGTTGTCAAACCTAAGAAAGGTTAAAGAGGTTGGGGCTCTTGAGCTTTGAGAAACAACGACTGAGGGGTGACATGAGAGGGATTTGCAAAATTATGCATGAGATAGAGAAGGTAGAGAAAGAAGTCCTTTTCTCCCTTTCTCACAACGCTGGGCGCTCCATGAAATCGATGAGCAGAAGGCTTAGAACGGATAAAAGGAAGTCCTTCTTCACCCAAAGAGTGATTAACATGTGGAATTCACTGCTGCAGGTAGAGATGGTGGCCACTGCTCCCTCTAAGCTTTGTGAGCTCCTGGCATTCAAGTTGTGACCAAGCGATTTGGCTACTGCATAAATCAGTTTGCTCTGGAGCCACCCTTCCTGAGAGGAGACAAAAATGTGTGAGCTGGAGGCTAAAAAACCATGAGCTAGCTCACACTAACTCAGTTTAGAGGGAACAGTGATGGCGGCCACAAGCCTAGGCAGCTTCATGAGGGGGTTAGAGAAACACATGGAGCAGAGGTCCATCAGTGGCTATTAGCCACAACGTGTGGATGGAACACACTGTCTGGGGCAGTGATGCTCTGTGTTCTTGGTGCTTGGGTGGGGCACAGTGGGAGGGCTTCTGGAGTTCTGGCCCCCCTGGTGGGCTTCCTGGTGGCACCTGGCACTTTTGGCCACTGTGTGACACACAGTATTGGATTGGATGGGCCATTGGCCTGATCCAACATGGCTTCTCTTATGTTTTTATGTTCTAATTTTGGTTTGCTTTTCGGCAGGCAGCATTCATCTACCAGTTGCAGACTAGATATTTGCAAAGCCAGGTATGGTCTCCGTCTGCCGGTGCGGGGAGATGATGCTGAAGGGGTCTGGGGGTGGGGAGCATACCTGAACCAGCATTCGGGGTGGGGTGGGGGCGCCACATGGGAGGGGCCTGTCAGTGGAAGACTTGGGCTTTAAATTATTCATGGATATGCCAGGTGCTGATGAGTCTGTAAGAGAAGTGGCTGTTCAGTTTGGCTGAGAGACAAACCTCAGCCAGGGACAAGGACAGAGTTTCCTAGAATCTGATAGATGAGGCACACCTTTCTTTCCCCTTCCCTCACATTGAAAAATTGGAGGCATGCTTCCGTCTTCCAACTGAAAAGACTAACTTTTTATGGAGTGTACATTGTTTGTATTTGGAGTATCGAACCTCTGTGTCTCTGCATGAGTTACTGAGCCGTGGCTCATGCAGAGACATGATGGGCAGCCTCCTCGGAGAGGAAAGAGATTTTGCTGCGTGGGGAGTACTGTGACTGTGGTGTTCTACCATACTGAGTGCACAGATGTGGCAGAAGGTCTGAGAAGAACGAAACAAGGCTAGGGGAGCAACTCATTCAGAGAGACAGTGGGTTGGCTCTTTTGGGCACAGTGCTCAATGAGAAGCTGGAGTTTTCATCCGGACATCTGTGTCCTGATTGGAGGTTGGATACATTTCACTGGAGCTTTTAAAAAATAGTTAGTAGTCAAGAAGCCTATGAAGGGATCGATCTGGAAAGCAGTGTCGGAGGGGTATCAAGTCACGTCCTGTACTGACAGTGGCTAAAAATAACCATGGACTGTGTCAGGTTTTCAGTCTGAAATAATTCAGATGAGTTTCCAAAGTGGTAGATAAAAGAGCGGCAGAGTGACTTGATCAGAGGCTTATTGTGGGCAGCCAGCTAGGCAGAGAGGGGTCCTTGTAGCTTCCAGTGGGCTCTGGCCTTGCAGCCTAACACCATATAGCATATTCAGCAGCCAGATACTGTCGGGTCGGGGGGAGAAGAAGAAAAGCAGACATGAGGCTTCTCAGATGCCGCCAAATGCCCCCAAAGGGGTCAGTCCAGAAATTATTCCTCCCGTTGGGGTGGCCATGCAGAACTGGCTGTCTGCCCGAGTCACGGGAGATGTGGCGTGGCCTCCCCTCTGGGCTGTGTCACTTGTGGATGCTTCCCCTTTGTCTTTCGGCACCCCAGGCGATCCTCCTGCCCCAGGTGGTGACGGGAGTGGCAGCCAACGTCTTGAACGTGATCATGAACGTGATCTTCCTTTACACCTTCAAGCTGGGCGTACTGTAAGTAGAAGGGCTTCCTGTAGCTTCTTTTCCTGCCCGAGCTTGGGGTGGGTGGGGCCGTTCTCCCGGAATCCGTTGGCCAAACCTGCACAGCTTCTTTGATGCAGGCGGGGAGGCACTGTGGATTCCGTCCCTCGCCAGTGCCTCTCCCGGACGATAGCGTTCAGCTCTTCTGCTCTGTCTAGACTTATCTCTGCGTGCCCCGCTTAGCTTCATTTTTTTCACAGTTCTGCTTGTGCCTCTCGTGCTTGCTGAGAGAACTGCATGTGAAATGACACCTCCCTCCTTAGTTGTCTCTTTTCTATACTAAAAAGTCCAAGGCTCTTCAGCCTCTCCTCACAGGGAAGGCTCTCCAGCCGCCTAATCATCTCGGTTGCCCGGCTCTAGACTTTTCCCAGCTTTGCAGTGTCCTTTTAGAGATACAGGGAACAGAACTGTACACAGTGTTCCAAATGAGGCCGCACCACAGATCTATACAGGGGCGTTACAATATCCGCAGGGCCTGCAAGACGGAGCTCTTCCGCCAGGCGTACGAGTAGGAGCCGCCGCCGCCACTATCCTACCA